CTAATAGTGTTGAAAGGGGCGCGAAACTCATACACTTATTGTCTTTCCCCTTTTCCAGCGGGAGCTTGCTCTTATTGTTTTGATTTTCCTGTGGTTGCCACTCTTTTAAAAGTGTTGTGTATGTGTGTGTGTGTGTGTGTGTGTGTGTGTGTGTGTGTGTGTTTGTGTGTGTGTGTGTGTGTGTGTTAGTGGGTTTAAAAAACAAAATCTAATGTAGATGTTTTACGTGGTCTGAGTATCATTTCGTCCTGTTAGTGCCCTACCCAGACACTCACCACCCACCCCTCTCACCCTTTACCGTCACTGTGGACTGCCTCTAACTTATGTTATTAATTATTATTTTAATTATAACGTATGTCCCTCTAGGGTAGCGAAAGACCGCGGATTAGGGGGATCCTATTTGTTGTACCCTGTAACGTTATACGAACATACACGTGTTCATACAATGTTTGCCAGCGCACCTTCATATTGGGTCGTTGACGGGTGCTCTAGTGTGGTTTGCTCCTTCTTTCCGATCAGACATCTATCACCCTTACCTCTCCTCCTTCTATTTTGGGTTTGTTACTCTCTTTTAACACCTCTAATCTTCGGCACTTATATAGCCGTCTTGTGTTGCCAGTTCCGTAAAACTCTTACTAAAACTAAACTCGAAAACACCTTCATACGAAATGCTGCGAGTCTGGCTGTTTTGTTTCACACTAGGTGTTTTTACGACCCAGTCGACATAGTTAAGATATCATTAAGGAGGCTTCATCAAGCATTGCCTGTCAGGACCAGCCCGGGCTGAGAGGGTGGTTGGTTGGCGGGTGGTCTGTTGTGGTCTGCTCCTTCTTTCCTAACAAACTTCTATCGTCCTTCTCCCCCCTTCTTCTTTTTTATGTTCGTTACTCTCTTGTGACACTTCTAATCTTCTGGTGCTCTTATGACCTTATATACGCAGTTGCGAGCGCCGTAAAACCTCTACTGAAACTAAAATAGGACTGAGAGGGATACAACAACAACCCAAAAGAAAGAACGAGGTACGCGATTAACATAATTCTTTCTACTCGGAAGTCGAACTTGGGTCTACTGCGTGCCTCATAAAAGCGCGCAACCGCTGTTCCACAGATGCCTGTAGGCCTATACGTCTGACCGTCTAGTTGTATTCACTTCTTGAGCAGCGAAAGACCAGATTGTGTGATAATTTTCTTATTTCTTATCCTCTGTAACGTTATGCGAGTATAACATAGAATGTTAGCCTGAACACCTTCGTTCAACGTCCTTAGTAGTCCTGACTGGCTGTTTTGTTTGTTTTCAACTGTTTTGTTTGTTTTGAACTGTTTTGGTTTTTTTAAAAACTGTTTTGTTTGTTTTGAACTGTTTTGTTTGTTTTGAACTGTTTTGTTTGTTTTGAACTGTTTTGTTTGTTTTGAACTGTTTTGGTTTTTTTTAAAAACTGTTTTGTTTGTTTTGAACTGTTTTATTTTTCAACTGTTTTGTTTGTTTTGAACTGTTTTGGTTTTTTTTAAAAACTGTTTTGTTTGTTTTGAACTGTTTTATTTTTCAACTGTTTTGTTTGTTTTGAACTGTTTTGTTTGTTTTGAACTGTTGGGGTTTTTTGTACGTATTTTTCCGACTCAATCGACACTATTATTAAGACCATTTAGTAGGCAGGCTTCCGACCCTGCCTGTCAGGGCCTACCCGGGCTAAGAGAGATGCTATCATATTATACTCTTAGTCTTACTACACCCCAACAGATAGACTATGATAATGGGTGGGTGACGGGTGCTCTGGTGTGGTTTGCTACTTCTTTTATATCAAACATCTATCGTCTTTATCTCGCCTCCTTCTTTTGTTGTGTTTGTTGCTCTCTTGTAAAACTTGTAAGTCCTCTAATCCTAGGCACTTATACGACCTTATTGTGTTGCAAGTGCCGTAAAACTCTTACTAAAACTAAAAGACCGAGATACTCGATTAAAAAGTTGTTCCCACTTGGGAATCGAACTGAGGTCTCCCGAGCGCAACAGTGAAGCGCTAACCGCTACACCACAGACACCAGTAGACGCCTCTTGGGTATCGAAAGACTGCGGATTGGATGTTAAAATTGCTATACATTTCCTGTACCCTGTAATGTTATACACACCTTCATACGACACGCTGCACATTCCTACGGGCCTGGCTGTTATGTTGTAGGGTGTTGTTTTTTAGGGGGGGATGAGGTTCATATATATATATATATAGGTGTTTTTATGCCCCCCTCCCATAATCGACATCATTTAAATCATTTAGGAGGCGGGCTTCCGACACCTTGCTTGTCAGAGCCTATCAATCCGGGCTGAGAGAGATACAACATCCCAGCCTGTGTATATGTCTGTGTGTGTGTGTGTGTGTGTGTGTGTGTGTGTGTGTGTGTGTGTGTGTGT